CCGTCAAAAAATCTCCACAGATCACCGATCCATCATTGACGGGAATGAAGATGGGAGGGGTCCATGCCTGCCATCCCTAGCTGTCATCCATGTTAAAAGTTGTCATCACTGTAACCTGGCCTATAGTGCAAGGGGTTCAACTGCTAGCGTGTTATAAAGTATAAACCAATAGTACTCCACCAAAGCGGTTCAATGATTGTGCAGTTCGGAGAAATGTTCATTTAGTTTGAAGATCGAATATTTAGTTATTAATAATTAATTATAATTAAATTTTTAATTATTATTTTTATCAAAAAAATATAAATCAATAATTTGACGTGTTATTCTATAAAGCAGTGCTGCTGCATTATATAATTTTGTTATTGATATTAAATAAATAAATTTAATTATATAATTAATAAATTAAAAATTAATTTTTATTTTTAATATAAATTTATAATAAAAATTTACATTTTTTTACTCTCTTAACATGTGCTCTTAGAACACATATTAAAAAAACTTAATATTTAAAATGGTCCTCACTTTTTGATTTTATCTTTCAATTTTATCTTTCAATGACCTTAAAAATAGTTTTTAAACTTATTTTTTAAGACCCATGATTAAAAATTAATTTTAATTAACTGCAATAAATTACTAATTAATTATTAAATAATTTCATTAAACATTAATTAGCCATTAAGTAAAATTTTAATTTTTAGTTTATTAGCAAAATAACCTAATCGTTTACTTTTATTTATTCTAAAAAATGATGATAAATTTGTGAACCTGATTATACTTCTGTCTTCTTTCTCCGCTCTCCCTTTCTTCTCTATCCTTTTTTCTTTTCTTAATTTAACCAATTGATATATTTTTGTTTGTTATAGTTCAGAAAAATAATAATGTAATTTTTTATAATAGATTATATAAATGTTTCATAAAATTAAAAATTAAAATTAATTTTAAGTTCTATAAAAATTAATTTTAAGATTTTACTTGTAAATTTGGTAAAAATTTAAAGCCTTATTAAATACATAAGCTTACAGTTAAA